ACGCCTTTCAACGAGACAGACCGCCGGCGAAGCTTATGCTGTACAGCCAAAGCAGCAACGTGGCCTCGGTCTCTAAAAATGGCAGCACCGAGCCCTTCCCTCATTAAAATAAAAAGCATCATCATCCTCCCCCTACGGTGCAAAATGGGTTGCAGCTCCCAGATCAATCCTGGAAGGGCAGACGATGGGGCGCACAAGCAAGAAAAGGTAGTGAAGTTTGAGGTTAAGAGTGAGCCGAGACGTTTCGGTCCATTGAGTCATATACGCCTTAAACTCCGCAAATGTGTCACTCATTGTTCGGCTGCCAGCCAAACCAAAAACAACACGGATGCTTCCGTGCTGATTTCTACGCAAGTGGTGAAGATGAACCGGCGCTAGCAGCTTCTCCCCCGGAGCAGAGGGCCGTCGGAAGCACCCGGACTACTTCTCGACCGATTCCCACTGCTACAGAAAATGCATTATGGAGGGCTTTTGCGTTCTGACTCCGAAACGTACTCGCTCATGTCAGAACAGCAGTAGTAACGTAGCGAGGAATCCACTCTCATCCTGCTGCGAATCCAAGCGGCCCTCTCCACACCTAAACCAACGTCCCCGGGGACTTTTCACAAAAATAATCAAAAGTGAAATTGACTTACGGGGCGTCCGGCAACAATAACGCCAAACACTCGCAAATGCTGATCCATCAAATATTTATATAAGGCAATCGGAGAGGTCTGAAAAAAAAGCACCAAAATTTCCAAACGGCATCAGCGAAAGCAATGTACAAGAGAGACACTTCACGATCCATGCACATCACTTACTTGGCCATCTTCACGCAACCTCCCCCGCTCACCACACCTCACCCCATACGCAAGTACCACATGTGTGCACAACACACATGACCAATGTCGGACGACAACAGTTCTATTTCTCTGCACTTCCCGCCTTGAAGCAGTGAATTACACGCAACACATAGCATACCAATCCTGAAGCGATAGAGTACGCAAAAAGAAGAGGGTACAGGGAAATATGTGCCACAAAAGAGTAACACAAAGGTACCACACATTTTTGGCTGCGATCTCAGACAACCCAACTCCAAAGTGCAACCAAACCAAATGTTTCACCACCCGAACAGGCGTAGCATCTCCTATGGATTGTAGCCCCGTTCAAGGGGGTTTTGGGTGAACGAGTTATTTGGATAGTTACACACATACGCTACATTGGCTAGATATTCAATCGGAGTGTTCATGTAAACCTGGAGACCACTGTACCACCCCGGGAATACACACGGGAGTTAAGGGGAGTGGGGTCGCGGGACTGGAACTGGCTTGTACCTATGAACTGTACAGTATAGATGAACTGACAGAAGTTACTTACTGAGGAAAGGGGACTGAGGAGAATGAGACATTTAGCCAGAGGGGCACGAAATTTAAACGCAGATTGATGCATGAGCTGAAAACAAGGATGCAGAGGCACTGAAGTCAATTCAGGAAGCTAAACCACATAAGCAATTGGCTCCATGAATGGTGAAATTAGTCTTAACTCTTTCGTGCTTATCTTTCCTACCTCAGCTATATTTCTACATCCATCAATACATATTTCGTCCTATTCTTACCATATTTAAGTTCTTAATATTACTTGTAAGCTGCAATCATGCTACAATCAGCTTAGTGCAAAAACGCTAGAAAATGCTTTGGCTACGCGGAAGCAGTAAGTGAGTGTCAAAATTAAGTCCAGAAAACCCAGATTCAGGCAGCTCATCGTAATGGTAGTGGTGACGGACTAGGCACTGTCAAAGTAGGACGGGGCGAAACCCAGCAGCACTGAGTGACGCGTTTTGTTCGGCTAATCTTAGAGGATATGCCCAGACAGTTGATGGTAACGCAGTAGAGGTCAAGTAGCGATGCACGCAGAAGCGCAGTATCCAGCGGCATCATGAGAAACAACACGACTTAAGAAAATCAAATACAGATCGGTTTCTTGTACTGCCTTGAGCCCTGTTGGTGGTGACGAAACGCGATCCGGGAACTGGAATGAAGTGGGCTTGAACTGTTTCTTCCTGGTGCAATCATATTATTGTTTCGATGAATGGCGTGCAGGATGGCACTGCAGCCACGTGAGAAATTGGAATTAAGAAGATTTGCCTTGCTGACAGTCGATGGATGTTGCAATGAGTGGTACCGTGAGGAAGTAAACGATACCCATGTTCTGGAGCGGTGGCACACACACATCGCACAAGTAGTGGAAACTAACTGGAGGTATACAGCCAACTGATATATCTCTGTGA